CGCGTTCAGGTCGGGTCAAGTCCACCTCCTCGACGCGCTGCAGCCCGGGTCGGCTCTTGGCCCGAAACACGCAAAATGGCCACTAAAAGAGCCCCCTTCGCGCGCCTTGAATCTGAATCTGAATCTTGGGCGCGCGGGGGTTAGGTTAGGTCCATTTATGTGCCTTGTTCCGTGTTTTTGGCCAGAATTCTACCCGGGCTGCAGCTCGTCGAGGAGGTGGACTTGAGCCGACCTGAACGCGTGCAATACGGGAGACCAAGACTTGTAAAGCGGGACCGAGTTCTGAATCTTCCGCTGACAAGTGGAGCCGCGCTGCAGCGCGTCGAGGAGGTGGACTTGACCCGACCTGAACGCGTGCAATACGGCAGATCAAAACCCGTAAAGACGGACTGAGTTCTGACGTTTCCGTCCACAAGAGCAGGCGACAGCTGAGTGGCGAGCGCGCTGGGGTGTAGTCCCGGAACCATCGACCCAGGGATCGAATCCCGCGGCCGAAGAACTTTTTTTCCCGCTCTGTTAATCCGCTCCTGGCGACATCTCGCCTGTCGCTGACTCCCGAAGACATAATCAGCAGATAGGGAAAAAAGTTAGACGGCTGGTATTCGATCCCTAGGCCGACAATACCCGGACCTCACCCCAGCGCGCTCGCCACTCAGCTGTCAGCTGCTCCTCTCCGCAGTGAGGTCAGAACTCGGTCCCGCTTTACAAGTCTTGGTCTCCCGTATTGCACGCGTCCAGGTCGGCTCAAGTCCACCTCCTCGACAAGCTGCAGCCCGGGTAGAATTCTGGCCAAAAACACGGAACAAGGCACATAAATGGGCTAACCTCATCCCCGCGCGCCCAAGGGGCTCTTTTAGTGGCCATTTTGCGTGTTTCGGGCCAAGAGCCGACCCGGGCTGCAGCGCGTCGAGGAGGTGGACTTGACCCGACCTGAACGCGTGCAATACGGGAGACCAAGACTCGCGAAGCAGGACCGAGTTCTGAATCTTCCGCTGACAAGTGGAGCCGATAGCCGAGTGGCGAGCGCACTGGGGTATGGTCCGGAAACCGTCGGCCCGGGGATCGAATCCTGTGGGGGGTGAACTTTTTTTCGGTGCCTGCTGAGTAGGTGGTGAAGTCGACTTCCTTACCTTCCTGCAGACCTAGTCGAATTCACACGAACGTTGTGTCAGGAGTGTCAATTTTCTGAAAGAAAAACTTAAATAAATCAAGGGGATTCGATCCCCAGGCCGACGGTATCCGGACCAGACACCAGCGCGCTCGCCACTCGGCTGTCAGCTGCTCCTCTCCGCAGTGAGGTCAGAACTCGGTCCCGCTTTACAAGTCTTGGTCTCCCGTATTGCACGCGTTCAGGTCGGCTCAAGTCCACCTCCTCGACG